TTCCTCACCACCACCGAACTAGAGAGAGAGAAAGTGAGAGAGTTGAATTGTCCTTGTTGATTTGCTTAGAAACTTGAAGGAATTGAAGGTTGATTTCAAAATTGTGCTTCCATTCTTGAACTACAAGACCTAAGGTAGTGTAATTACCCTCTTGTTTATGAGTTCTTACATGATTCATGTCGAAGTTAGTGGATTGAGTCTTGAAATAGCTTCATATGTCGATTTGAGTTAGAATTCATGCATGCATGTGTTTATCCTTGCATCATGAGGTTTGATTTCATGGAAATCTTGCATGCATGTTCATATTTTTATAATGGACCATGTTTTCATCTTGTTTTTGGAACAATTGGCTCATTAGAGCAAGTGTTTAAAGCTTGAAAGTGGTTTAAATTCATGCATGTTGCATTGAAGTTATGTTCTTGAGTTTTGGTTTGAAAACCATGTTGAATTGATCTTCCCTTGGGCCTTGATTTTACAAATTGAGCTTTGAATCATGTTAAACTATGAGGTTTGAGGAGTTTTCTGGAAAATTAACCCAAGAGGATTGGTTGTGATACATTTGTAGTTGAATTTTAGCTTAAGGTTCAAATCTGGGAATTCCAAATTTTGAACTCATGCTCGAGCGGGGTGACTGGCGCTCGAGCGTGGAAATCGTGCTCCCAGCATTTTGTTCTGTTTTTAAGTCAGCTTGAGCGGGGTAATTTATACTCGAGCGGGACCTTGTGTTTTACGCTCAAGCGGGTGTCGAGCGCCCAATCGAGCGTGAATTTCACCTATCCAGCACTTTTGACTGTTTTGCAGTACGCTCGAGCGGTTGAGTCTGCGCTCGAGCGAAAACCTTTGTCTCCATGTCCACTCGAGCGGATTAACCGACGCTCGAGCAGGACCCCTGTTTTCTGAAAATGCTTTTAAAGTGCATCTTTGCATCCTCATTTTATCATAGGCATTCTTAGGCCTAGTTTAAGGCATCTTAATGAGGATATAGATGTAGAACCACACCGAGTCAAGATAGGGATTAAATTATTATCTTTCCCAACTGTGTAGCTTAGTGTGTGTTCAATCTGTAAACTGTGTAGGGTTGGTGACTGGGGACGCGCTCTAGCCTAACTGTAGCCCAGAACTCTGTGAGTAACAACTGTGTAAAGATATGTTCAAAAATGATTATCCTCTGAACAATTGAACTGTACTGTTTCTGAATTGATATTGTTAATAGAATGAATGTATGTCCTCTATTCTGAACTGTATTGTGGCATCCTTAGCAATTATTGTTACTGACTGTTACTGTTACAGAGATCTCTGTCGGTTCCCTTGTTGGAACCACTACTGTTTACTGATTGATGGCCATCATTGACTGTTCGGTCTTTCAAGACCTACTGTTTACTGTACTGTTATGCTAATGGATGTACCACATATGACTGTACTGACTGAAAGACTGAAATACTGATTTAATGAACTGTTTTTATTACTGTAAGGACATTCATTCTAAACCTCTTTACGCATTATGTTATTCACTGGGCTTTAACTCACTGCTCATATATATATGTAGGTGCACAGGCACCAGACCGCGACTAGAAGCGTTGGGGTAAGCTCCAGTTTTGTTAAGCCAACCATTGTGCCTCACTGCGAGGTTCCGAGTCTGTCAAGCTATGGCTTAGGGGTGTTTTAATTTCCCCCATCTGTCTCTGTAACTGTTTTGTAGACTGTATAGACTGTTACTGTACTATTTAATAGGGATTAGGTCCCTGATCTGGATGATTATAAATATTGTACATACTGTTCTGCACTGTGTATATGTATATATGAAAAGTCTTTTTGGCATTCAGACTGTCACAGCTCATTGGACATTGTTTACTTACTGTATTGACTTCCGCCAAGCCCCTGTACTCTGTTTTACTGTATTACTATTAAGCAGGTCTTCGGTAATCTCGGATTACTGGCCGGTTACGGTGCTAAACCCATATGGGCGGGTTTGGGTTGCGACAAAAATGTATCTCTAAAATAAATTAGACATTTTCAAAAACTCTTCTCCCTTATTATATAGATATATATTTTTCATATATATATATCTGTCTTCAATTTTTTATATCCGTCTTCATCAATTTTTTGATTATTCGGTATACAGAATTTTTTTTTGATATATATGTTTTGATATCTGAAACTGATTTGCTGATAAATTAATTAAAAAAAAAATTGAGAAACCGAATTTGAGTTTGTCAATTTCATTCTGAAATTTGTTTGATTCTGAAAATTGGGTCTCCAACGGTCTAATTTTTGCTAATCTGGCAAGCTTGGCATCTGCTATTTCACTTGCCAAATTTGAGAACACATATGGCATCTGCCATCTTTGGCAAGTGATATAGTAGACCGTTGGAGACTCATTTTTGCCATTCTTGTCATTTTTTAGCTTTGGCAACTGATATAGCAGCTCCATTGGAGATGCTCTAAGTGGGTTATAAATTTCTTTCATGGACTTCTTGAATTAAAAAACTCCTAAATAGGACTTACAATAAAAACCCCTAACCAAGAAATAATTAATTATTTAAAAATTAAAATATTTATTATTTATAGTGCCTAATTATCAATTTTTAACTTAAAACAAGTTGCATTTGAATTCTGAGAGTGTTTGGGGTGCATTATAAAATTATAATTTTTTTTATCTTTTTTAAATTATCTCTATTTTTCTGTATATCTTTTCATAAAAATTTAAAAAATACACTTATTTAAATCACTCCAAATAACTTTTAATTTTTCATTAGCACATAGCATCTAACAATAATACCATATCCTCGTATTAAACCATATAACAAAATTATAGTTAATTACTTAAAAGTCTTATTTACAAATGTTATAGTAGCTTAGATACTATTTAAGATTTTTTGAACCAATAAGTCATATTTAGTAAAATTGAGAATATTATCATTTTTTTCCAAATTTTAAAATTAAGAACATTATCAATTTTGCATAGTAATGTTCCAGACAATTGTTTCACTAACTGATAAAAAAATAAAGCATGAGAGATTAAACAATTTTTCCCTTCTATTTATTGGTTTGATTCAACTATTCAGTAAAATCGAGAATATTATCAGTTTTTTCCAAATTTTAAAACTGGACATAATCAGTTTTTTCATTTACATTTTTTTTTTTAGTTTTGCATATTAATGTTTCATCATCATGCTCATTTATAGATACAAAATTTTCAGTTTTGTCCAAAAAAATAATTCAATTTTTTCAAAAGAAAAATATTGACCATCCAGTTTTTTGAAAATATTTTTTAGAAAATTCTACTTTCTTATTTTTCGTATTTTTTTTTTGTTTTTACTGAATTTTTTAATATTTTAAGCATTTTTTTAAAAAAAAATTTAGACACACCTAACATAAATACACTTAAAAAGTATAATTTTTGTGAAAAAATCTTTAAAAATTCACTAAATACCAAAAATACAAAAAAAAAAAGAAAATTCAGTATATTTTTTGTATTTTGTGTATTTATTATTTTTTTAAAATATTTTTTCACAAATATTTTACTTTTTGGATACATCTAACTAAGGTGCATCCAAAAAGTAAAAAAAAAAATGCTTAAAATTTTAAAAATATTCACTAAAAATAAAAAAATACGAAAAACAAAAAACTCAATTTTTAGTAAATTGAATTCAAAAAATTAAAACCAAACACACTTGATACAAAATTTTCAGTTTTGTCCAAAAAAAAATTCAGTTTTTTCAAAAGAAAAATATTGACCATCCAGTTTTTTGAAAATATTTTTCAGAAAATTCTACTTTCTTGTTTTTCGTATTTTTTTTACTGAATTTTTTAATATTTTAAGTATTTTTTAAAAATTTTTAGACACACCTAACATAAATACACTTAGAAAGTATAATTTTTGTGAAAAAATCTTTAAAAATTCACTAAATACCAAAAATACAAAAAAAAATGAAAATTTAGTATATTTTTTGTATTTTGTTTATTTATTAATTTTTTAAAATATTTTTTCACAAATATTTTATTTTTTAAATACATCTAAGTAACGGGCATCCAAAAAGTAAAAAAAAAATGCTTAAAATTTTAAAAATATTCATTAAAAACAAAAAAATACGAAAAATAAAAAACTCAATTTTTAGTACATTGAATTCAAAAAATTAAAACCAAACACATTTGATTAGTTTTTTTTTTTTTTGCACACAATTTTTTTTTATAGTTTTTTCAATTTTAAAATTTTAAAAATCAAAATAAATGTCAAATCATCATGTTACTTTTTAGATAATCCTAAATGATGAACAATTATTATTTAAAGGGCAATTCCGACTATTAAAAATTTAATGAGATTTGAAGGTCTAAAAAATCTTAATTAGAACTTAGTGGAGTATAAATTCATAAATTAGAACTTGTGTGTAAATACCTCTAAAAAAATATTACAAATGAAATCATTATTTACTATTGTGAGGGAATAGAGTAATGGATGACTGTTTCATTCAATTCAATTTTATTTCAGTGTATCAAATATTACATTATAATATTAGTGGTTTAAAATGAAGTTATACAGAATTCAAAAAAGAAAAAAACCTGAATGATTCGAATGTCTCAAAACGACGTCGTTTTAAGAGTAAAACGATATCTTTTTAATATATTCGAACCATTTAAGGTATATAAATTTGAATTACCAAACACACTGAAAGTAACCATGGCTTCGTCCCTATCCACCATTTTGTAGAAAGTAACCATGGCTTTGTCCAAACTTCCACACTTAAGGGAATGTTTGATTGGATGGATTAGAGGATGAGATTCGGATTATTAATCCGTAAGTCCAATTATCCTATGTTTGTTTTAAGATTTTAGTTTAAGATTATTAATTTAATGAAAAATTAATCCAACAAATTTGTAAGATTATTAGTAATATGATAGCGGTGATATTATTAATCTAATGAATAATTTATCCTATTAATTCAATTGAATAGTGAATATCATACTAATTTAATAACATTATTAATACCCCACTATTAATCTTATGAATCAAACATGAGGTTGCAGTAGATGTCAATTAGAACTGTCCCAACGAAAACATCATGTCTCATGTCATTTCTGAGGATCAAACGATGAACTAGTCTACCATGTTGTAGGTTCGATAAGCTAGCACAAGCAACAAGAACACTAACTAGAGTGGTTTCATCTGGTTTAACCGTCTCATTCTCCATTTTCTTGAAAAGTTCTAAAGCCTCACTTGGACGCTTTGACTCAACATAACCATGAATCATTGAGTTCCACAAAACTACATCTTTGTCAACCATCTGATCAAAAATATCACGAGCGAAATCTACAAAACTCATCAACATACCTATTGATTGAAATAGTATGAGACACTTCGGGCTCGTTTGGTTTGATTTTCTGAAAAAAATTTAAGAAATTTTCTCTACAAATAAGTTTTTAAAAATAATCAAACCAAACAAATTTTCCCAAAAAAATTTCTCAAAACTTGTAAACCAAACAAGTTTTCCAAACAAATCTCTCTCTCTCACATATCAAATCAATCACTTTTTCCAAAACTCTATCTCAAAATAATTTTTCAAAACATCTTTTAAAAAAAACTAAACCAAACATGTTTTCGTACTTTTTATCTCTAAAACACATCTCTCAAACACAAACCAAACATACCCTACATCTCTCCTACCGCTCATCTCATCAAACAATCTCATTGCTGGATTCATCTTCCCAAATTTCACATACATACCCAGAAGTGCATTCTCCAAATTTAATTTACTAAAAAAACCCAACTTTTATCATGTATCCGTGTACTTCACTTCCATACTCAACCCATCTTACTTCTGCAAGAGCTGACAATATAATCACCAACGTGATCGCATCAACTCCAACGCCATCACAGATCATTTCTTTAAACAAAACCAATGCTTCAATTCTCAATACAGAATTGGAATTATAGGTACCCAGAAGTAAATTCCAACTTGTGAAGTCTCTCTGAGACATTTTATCAAACACAAACCTAGCATCATCAATACAGCCAGTGGACCCATAAAAGTGAATAAGAGAATTCTGTACATAAACATCACAATCTAGTCCTACTTTTATGATATGGGCATGCAGTTCCTTTCCTTTAGGAAATGAATTTAGGCTTGTACAAGCTTTCAATAGGCTTAGGAAAGTGAAGTTATCAGGGATGATAGAGTTTGATTGAATGGAGTGGTTGTAAATGAGAATGGCTTTGATGGGTTTGGGGCTTTTGGAATGGGCTCTGAGAATGCAATTCCATGCGGGGGTGGTGTGGAGGAGACCAGTTGTGATGGTTTGGGTGAGGATTTGATCAAGTTGTGTGATCTTATGGGCTGAACTTTTGAGGGACTTTAGTGTAATGTGGAGTTGGGTACACATCAAATTCACTTTACATGGTTTTGGTAGTAGTTTGGAATTGGGGGACACATATAATGATGATCCACTGGTGGGTATGGCGTGAGGGTGTGGCAGGATTGGATTAAGGATCCAAAGATTCCGTGCATATTTTATAGTCTCAGCCCTTGCTAGTTGCTATACCTCTAGTCCATGTTATTTGTGCTCATATGAATGTTCTTTTCCCATTTATTTTGTTTATATACTAAAGTTGAAGTGGGTGTTCGGGATCCCTCAAAATAAGTACTCTTTTTTTTTCTTTTTTCTTTTTTCTCCCAAGAGTAAAAAAAAAGGGGGGTAAAATGTGCATTTGCGATGAACACAAAAAAGCAATAAGATATGAGTTATGAAACGATAAATTTATCTTTATTCCTTTCACCATCCGACACCGTCTCACGGCAAGAAGGATAAAATGGAGAAATGGCCTATTGTCACGACCCAAAAACAACATACTATATTATTTGGCAAAAAAAATAATAATAATAACAAAAATAAGCACATCTTAAATACCATTTGAAAAAAACAACAAAATAAGCCAATAAGCAAAAAGGTGAATATAAGCAATTCCCAAATAATTCCCAAGTCTTTCAGTATGAGGGTTGTTATACCTATCAATCATTTGATGAAACAACATACTATATTATTTGGCAAAAAAAATAATAATAATAACAAAAATAAGCACATCTTAAATACCATTTGAAAAAAACAACAAAATAAGCCAATAAGCAAAAAGGTGAATATAAGCAATTCCCAAATAATTCCCAAGTCTTTTTTTCACTTCAGTTTTTTAAAAAAATATTCTTTTATATTTAGACCTCTAATTATTTGTCATTTTTAACTTTAGTCCAACTTTTAACATCTATTAAAATAGCAATAATAAAAAATGGCATGTGACATAAGACAACTCATTGCCAGCCCAAACATCGGCCAATACATGAAAAATGTGAAAAATAATTCATTCACAAATAAAATTTCTAAACATCACAAATCCCCCAAAACCAACCACCACAACAAAATCAACCGTGAAAATCCAAAACACCCCTAAAAAACTAGCCACATCAAAATCAACCACCATCATTCACTTTCGTCAACCCCACCCGTACTCCTCTCCTTAAACAACACCATCCTTGCCACTGCTTCTCACCCCCGGTAACTCGACTCTTTAAAATCTTCCACCTTGAACCCACTACCATGGTTGCTATAACACCACCCACCCTCTACAAATTTCTCACCATTGTTGGCCACACACAACACTACAACCCCACCTCTACAACATCATCAACATCATCACAAAACCACCACCCTTAAGAAGCCTAAAACCACCCTTGTAAGCTAGATGCACAAGAGAGGTGGTTGGCAAAGGAAGAGAGATGATAGAGATGTGATAATCAGTTATCAAATGTCGTGCAACAACAATTAACCAATAAAAAAACTTGAAGAGACAAGTCACTCTGTTTGGTTTTTATTTTCAGAATTCACTTTTTAAGATTTTTTTATTTTATTTTAGTTTTTGTTTTCACTGAATTTTGTTAATATTTTAAGCAATTTTTTTTTTAATTTTTAGACACACCGAACATAAATATACTTAAAAAGTATTTTTTTTAAAAAAAAATTCACTAAATACCAAAAAATACAAAAAGAAAAAAAATGAAATTCAATACATTTTTCAATTTTTTTGTGTGTTTATTAATTTTTTAAAATATTTTTTCACAAATATTTTATTATTTAGATACATCTAAATAAGTCAAAAAATTACTAAAAATTTAAAAAATATTCACTTAAAAATAAAAAAATACCAAAAATAAAAAATTCATTTTTCAAAAAATTTAATTCAAAAAATTGAAACTAATGCACTGAATGTAATTACAAACCCACGAATTGTAAAATCTTGCACTATGTCTTTTTTTTCTTTTCTTTTCTTTTTTTTGTTTTTATTTTTGGTACACCATCTTACACTATGTTTGGATTGAGTAAATTTGGGGAGGACAATCAATACTCATCATATTTGAATATTGGGTAAATTACAAATACAACCTTTGAAGTTTGTTTAAAATACGAATTGTCTTTTGTAATTTGAAAAATTACAAATATCTCCATGTCAGAATATTTTTATTTAACAGAATTAATTAAAAAAATAAAATTTCTAACTGTTCACCTATACAATAATATAATTATATGAATTATTAATTGAAATAAAATTTTAACATTATTAAAAAATGTTAATTAACTTGATAATTTATTAATAAAAGGACCTATTTGTTTTGAAATTAAAAATCTTAGAAGGCATAATATAATTTCTAAAATCATAGAGAATAATTTATAATTTAAATAAATCTTAGAGGATGTATTTATAATTTATCCTTGAATGGTTTAAAGAAGGGAATGAGAAACACAAGGAGTAGGAGTGTAAATCTCGCCCAGCCCACCCGGACCCCGGCCTAGTTCGGCCCATGTTGGGCCTCGTGGGCTCCCGCCAAAATTTGGGCTGGGCTGGGTTGGCCCACGGGTTGAAAAATTAGGCTCAAGCCTACGGATATTCTGGCCTTGGGCGAATCGGTGTGTTGGGCTTCAGGCTTAGGCGGGCCTGACTATTTTTATTTTTTTAAAAAAATTTTTTTTCTAAAATTTTATTATTTTTCACTAAAAAATACATCGGGTCTTGCGTGCAAGCCAAGCTTTGAGTGAGTCTTAAGCAGACCGATAGACTGGGTTACAAATTAAACTTCAAAATAATGGTTCAGACTCAGGCGCTTCAGCTTGGCTCAAGCCCAAATGAGCCAGGCCGACTCCAAACTACGGAAGAGTTTCGAGTCGTTTATAGGTCACGGGTAATTTTTACATGGGCGGTGATTGAGGGCCCGAAATGGAGAGCCCCGAATGGCTCGAAATTCCATTTCGGGTAAAGAGAAAGAAAAAAAAAAAAGAAAAAAGAAAGAAAAAAAAAAAACAGTTTCCAAAATTGGAAATTAGGGGTATTAGGGGCAACTTTTTTAGGGCTCTCAATCATTTTCCTTTTTACATTTCTAGTCAGAGGAGCAATTGTGGTGGAAAGGGCCCACAATTTGAGTACTTTTATTTTGCTCTAAAATTTGAAGAAAATGACGTGGTTGTTGCTAGTGTTAAGTTTCAAAAAAGATTAGGTTAAGTTTCGAATAATGGAAAGGGCCCGCACTTTGAGTACTTTTATTTAGCTCTAAAATTTGAAGAAAATGACGTGGTTGTTACTAGTGTTAAGTTTCAAAAAAAGATTAGGGTAAGTTTCGAATAATGATAGGAATTCTGAATGTTTTATAAAATGTTTTATTAAATATTTTATATAAGTATGGGTAGAACTGTAAATGAGTTGGGTTGAGTTTTAATATGTTTAAATTTATTTATTAAGATTTTAACGAACTCAAATTCAATAAAAATTTAATGAATCGAGCTCGATCCGAGTGGGTTTAAGCTTGATTTGAGTTTATTAAAAAATGTTAATTAACTTGATAATTTATTAATAAAAGGACCTATTTGTTTTGAAATTAAAAATCTTAGAAGGCATAATATAATTTCTAAAATCATAGAGAATAATTTATAATTTAAATAAATCTTAGAGGATGTATTTATAATTTATCCTTGAATGGTTTAAAGAAGGGAATGAGAAACGCAAGGAGTAGGAGTGTAAATCTCGCCCAGCCCACCCGGACCCCGGCCTAGTTCGGCCCATGTTGGGCCTCGTGGGCTCCCGCCAAAATTTGGGCTGGGCTGGGTTGGCCCACGGGTTGAAAAATTAGGCTCAAGCCTACGGATATTCTGGCCTTGGGCGAATCGGTGTGTTGGGCTTCAGGCTTAGGCGGGCCTGACTATTTTTATTTTTTTAAAAAAAATTTTTTACTAAAATTTTATTATTTTTCACTAAAAATTACATCGGGTCTCGCGCGCAAGCCAAACTTTAAGTGAGTCTTAAACGGATCGATAGACTGGGTTACAAATTAAACTTCAAAATAATGGTTCAGACTCTGCTTGGCTCAAGCCCAAATGAGCCAGGCCCACTCCAAACTACGGAAGAGTTTCGAGTCGTTTATAGGTCACGGGTAATTTTTACATTTCTAGTCAGAGGAGCAATTGTGGTGGAAAGGGCCCACAATTTGAGTACTTTTATTTTGCTCTAAAATTTGAAGAAAATGACGTGGTTGTTGCTAGTGTTAAGTTTCAAAAAAGATTAGGTTAAGTTTCGAATAATGGAAGGAATTCTGAATGTTTTATAAAATGTTTTATTAAATATTTTATATAAGTATGGGTAGAACTGTAAATGAGTTGGGTTGAGTTTTAATATGTTTAGATTTATTTATTAAGATTTTAACGAATTCAAACTCAATAAAAATTTAATGAATCGAGCTCGATCCGAGTGGGTTTAAGCTTGATTTGAGTTCGAGTTTGTTCACGAGTCATAACGAGCAAAAAATTTATAAATTCATACTTGCGTATAAGACTAAAATTATAATTAAAATTTTGATTATACAATTATATAGACAATATATATAAATATTCTAAAAAAAAGTCAATATTTTATCAAATTAATAATATTTACTACCACTATTATATAAATGTACTATCTATAGTTAACTACTATTTACATTTATATTTTTTAAATATATAAATAACGTATTTATCTTATTTTTTATACATATATTTATATTATTTAATATATAAATAATAAATATTAAACGAGCCAACTAACGAGCTGAGTTTTAGAATGCGTGGAATATGTTTATTAAAAATTTAACGAGCTCGAGCTTGAACACAAAAAATATTTAACGAACAAAGTTTGAACGAGCTCTTATCAAGCCGAGCTCAAACCTATTCACGAAACGATTCTATTAATTTGCAGTTCCACTGTGGAATCTACATAGAACCCACATGATGTAGGTTTCACACATATGTGAAATATTTGATAAAATATTTGAGATTCCTATCATTTTTCTCACAATTGTATCAATTGTCTTAAC